GTAGAGCTGTTGGGATTACAAATTATTTCTTGGGATATTTCAAAAGTTACTGGAAGGTGATCAGAACCGAAGTCAGCATGGGTAACCAATTGGCTACAAAGTTGACATGAATCAGTTAAGACCAAATCAATAGTGGAGGGATTTCTTGCAGAAGAAAAGCATGTTGGGCTGTTTGGATATTGAATAGTGTAATAACCTGCAGAACAATCATCAAACAGAATATTACCATTGGAATTGCTTTGAGCATTATTCCATGAGCGGTGTTTTGCATTAAAATCACCAATAATGAAGAATTTAGACCTATGACGGGTAAGTTTCTGGAGGTCACCCTTGAGAAAATTCTTTTGCTGGCCTACGCATTGGAATGGCAAATAGGCAGCTATAAACGTAAGTTGTCCAAATTTTGTTTCAACAGAAACCCCCAAAGTTTCAAAAACTTTGGTTTCAAATGAAGAAAGAATTTTATGTTTGATTCGTCTATGAATAATGATGGCAACGCCACCACAGGGTCCATCAAGACGATCATTTCTATAAATCAAGTAGTTTGCGTCCTTCTTAACCTTATGGGCAGGTTTAAGGAACGTTTCAGTTATAACGGCAATATGCACGTTATGAACTCTTAAAAAGTTAAATAGCTCGTCTTCATTATCTTTAAGAGATCGAGCATTCCAATTTACAATATTTAATGCTTTAAAATCCATTACTGAATTTTAAAGTCATGACAATATTATTTGCAAATTTTACTCCAGTTTGAATAGCATCAAACATGGAGTTAGATTTAAGCATATCAGAAATCATGTCAATTAATGAATTCTGTAAAAATTCCATTTTGGGGGCAGTAATGCTTCCTAAGTCAAAATTGTCAAAATTTCCATTAGAACGTTGGTTAGTATTTTGATTTCTACCCGCTGCAATAGCAGCATAGGTAGCTCCATTAACTCGCTGAACATTGTTAGCAGCGAGGGGAGTAGGTACAGATGAAACATTTGAAGCAGGGGAGGTATTTGTACCTACGGGTACGAATGTAGAATTTGTTCCTCGCTGACCGTTGTTAACAGCAGAGGAATTTGTACCTGGTCGGAAACGTGGAGCGTTTCCTACCTGACGGTTAGAACGAGATTGTAGGATCGCTTTGCGAGTCTTACATTCCCAAAAATTGGATTTGTGGTTTTCACCACAATTTGAACATTTAAATTTCTTAGGATCTTCCTTCACAGGACAGTCGTCCTTTGCGTGAGAGGAATCACCACAATTCATGCATTTAGCTGGCATGTAGCAATTTTTAGTTCCGTGACCCCATCCCTGGCACTTACGGCACTGGGTGAGGTTTTGGAAATTTCCTCCAGTCTTCCTGAAGTGTTCCCACTTCACTCGGACATGGAGCATAAGGCTAGCTTTTTCTAAGGCCTTAAGGTTGTTTAGTTCACTAGACTTGAAGTGAACTAAATAAAAATCATTAGAAATCCCGTTGCGCGAATCGCCAGGACGGGATTTCATTTTCATTTTGATTACTTGGAGTGGCACAACTCCAAGTAATTTTGCCAGTTCATCTTTGATCTGATCCAGGGATTCACCACTGGGCAGTCCTTTCATGACAACCTTGAACACACGTTCAGTTTTGGTGTCGTAAGTAAAAAAATTGTGCTTCTTCTCAGTAAGATACTTGAGAAGACATTTAAATCCGTCCAAGGTTTCAGCCAATACACGGCATTCACCCCGACGTCCAATTTGTAGTGAAAACTTAACTTTCACGAAATTCAAAAGTTCCATGCGAAGAGCATGGAAATCGGTAGTGGTTATCACAATAGGGGGAATCTTTTCCTTCTTGGCATTAAGCCGGGAAAGTTTACTAGAATTTTTCTTGGATGATGGATCATTCTCATCATCCGTGAGCAAATCAAATTGATTACTCAAATTAATTTCATCAGAAGGGGGGTCAAGAGTTTGCCCCTTTCTTTTGCGTTTAGGCGCCATGGCGGCAGTAAATTTTTATCCAAATCGACTTCCAAGCAGATTACTATAAGAATCTGAAGGATCGAAGAGGAATTTTCCAAATCGATATCCAAGAAGGATTACCTCGGGTAGGGTCCAAACAAGGATCGAAGAGGAATAAGAGTTGAACAAGGTAGAAAATTTTTACAGGTTGAGCACTGAAAAGTGCTGTTAAAATTTGTTGTAGCTTTAGGTAGTAGTAACACTTCCTTCAGCAAAAAGCAAATAGATCCGCACGGCCAGAGAGCACGATGCGGACTGAGTCTCCTGCTGGGTGAATATCCGATTTCCTCCACGACGGAAAAGTATGTCCGCAGAAAATCAGCGTCTGCAGCAGGAGCCACTACATCGATCCGTTTGAAGCGAATCCATCTTTTCGTTAGTCTCGTCGGGACTCAATCCAGTTTCTATTTCTATTTTCACTCCAATTTTCAGCTAGGTATAGGTATGTCCAAACCAAACATACAACGTTCACTTTCCTCTTGACCATCATCGGAGAGAGGAAATAAATTGAAAATATTCAACACGACTTGTCCAAAGGTAGCGAAAAATGCGGCGTGTCTTGAATTTATTTTTAGGTGAAAATAAAAAAAAATAAAACGTCCACCACGTTTGGACATTTGCCATCTATGTACGTAGGTATCAGCGATACGGACGAGTGCATAAACACACGTTGTCGTCAAACATGCCGGGTTTTTTTTTTCCTAAGAAATTTCCACTTCGATCTGCCTTATTTGGGTCACCTCGATAAAACCACAATTGGTGATTACAGTCATTAAAATGTTCCTAACAAGCAAAAACAAAACTTTAGAACTAATAGTCCTCTGGAGAGATGAAAGCAAAATACAATTCCTTTCTCCTTCCGAAGAATGCGGTAGGACTTAAAATTCCACAAAAGCGAAACGGCAATGGAAAACGATTTATTACGATATCCTGTGCAGAATCCGCGTCCTTGAGGCGTTTGAAATGCTTCCTATTGTCTTCGGTCCGTTTGCCCTCGTTTGGTACGAGAACTTGTTCTTTTACATAAGTAAACAACCATCATCGTCGGCATCGTTGGAGGGGGTAAAGACGGCCACTTCACTACATATATAGATATGTAGGATTTGCTGCTGCTGCTGCTGCTGCTCGCTCAACTCTGCAGCGCTCTGAGACGCAGTTTGTGCTCCTTTCTGTCATGACGGTGGTTTTTTGTGTGCCAAAAAGCAGACGATGACGATGATAATTATCGAGACAAAAAAATACATATTCGAAAGGAACCTTATGCTAACGATAGAAACAGTGGCAGTGAGGTCAAACTTAAACATGATTCACCGATGGGTGAAATTCAGTTGACACAAATCCGGAGAGATTTGAGATTTGAGCGTAATTGTATTTGTAAACAAACACGTCAATCGGGGATTTCAAACAGAATCTATAAAATCGGGGCAAGGCGACAGAAATTTTCGGAGGAAGTTGGAAGAGACTTCCAGGAAAAGACGAAAAAGGATTTGACGTTAAGCATCTCCAACTGCACACTTAAAAAATAATATTTTACACATGACGTAAATCATGAAAGGCGAACAAACTTATCAATGCAATATTAAGTGTACCGAAACCGAAACATACGCAACTCGACGAAAATTACGTTTGATTGAATTGATTTTCTCGTCTCTTCTAACTTTCTCTTATGTCATAAGGGTCGCTTGCATGTGTCGGTCTCAGGGCACCGAAATTTACATTACTTTTTCGTACACACTAAGAAATACCTAATCTTACACGTGACGGAATCCATCTTTGACATAAAGGATGGGACGTAAACAAACATGTCATGTAAAATTAATTGCTTCGAGACTGAAAAGTTTGAAAGTACGTTTGATTGAGCTGAATTTCACGTCTATTATGATTCAATTTTATGTAAAAATTGATGCTCGTATATGTCAGTCTCAGAGCACCTAAATTTATATAATTTTTTTAAGTGTGTATACCTCAACGTGCATAATTTTGAAATCTGCATCATCAAGCCTTTTTTCCAAGATGGTGGGTTTTAGAGGCTTACAAGTTTGATGAAGTTTTATAAGAAGAGAGTTAAAAGTTTATATTTTTGTATTAAATCTATAAATTTTTAGGTAGCTTAGCCAACCTCCCAGAATTCAATGAAACTTCGCCCACAGTGACACCTACCGACTTTTCTTCGCCCACAGTGACACTTGAACGAGACCTCGAAAATCATGTAAATTGGCATCACTTTTCCAAACAAAGGCATCTTCATCCCTCATCTAAAACTACCAGCCTCCAAATACATAAGGATATCGATTGTCGAAAAACAGTGCAAAAAGGTCAACTTTCTGCCAAAGCAGATCCGAGTCTTGTTTTTGAGTCCTTTCGCATGCGAACAGCGTCTTCACCGCAACTGTCGTCGTAGATAACCACCATCGTGTATGTGTGTGTGTGTATGTGTGTTTCTTTTCACCTCGGCTACCGAAATTGAGACCATCATCGTCAATGTCGTCTTACCCACCTTCCTATCTTATGCTGCTTCTCAGCAAATTCGGTTATTCTCCCGGTGCCCTTATGTATGAATGTGTATGTAGGTATTGGGGACGGCTGTGCAGTATACTACACCCCCGACCGACGATGGGTGGAATGAGTAAGGAAAGTTATGGACAAAAGCTCTCAAGGACAAACAAGACATCGTCGCGTTCGTCTGCCTCCCCATTCCACTCAGCACGGGATCAGCTTTAAAGAAACGAATTGTCAAAAGGAATGGAAAGCAGTCCGTCGGTCGTTCGTAGCAGCAGGGTTTCCCAGCACTGCTCAGATGGGTTTAATGGATATCTATGACCCACTTATTTCGGATACTAAAATCTGCTCCCGACGGCTTCTTGCAGCGATGAGTGCCAAATTATGTAAAACGCGAAGGATCAAATTTGTGGTGCAATAAAGAAGCTGAAATGTCGTGATTTACTGTGGAATGGAATCCTCGAGTTTAGTGTTTCATGCGAAGTTGTGCTTTTTCTGTATTGCAGAATGTGAAAGAATACGCGTGCAGCTGGTTTGATCGATATTTGGTGAACTTTTAAGAAGAAGGGGGAGCTCAACAAGTGATCGAAGATTAATTTAAAAAAAAAGTTGTTTAAAGCGAGTCGCTGAAAATTAGTGCGAAGGAAACAGAAGCAGATACTCGTTGCCACTTTGGACACGAACTCATTTCGGATCGAAACGTGACAGGTAAGCCCCTGCCTTCTAGGAAAGTATTTAATCCTATTTGTTTTCCATTAATGACACGCAGTCTTAACCTTCCACCGTTCCATGTGATAGGAAAGTTTTCAAATTATATCAAGCCTTCCAGTTAATTTTTTCGCTTTCTCAGTTTTTGTCGCTTATCCAGTCAAGAAAATGCCAATCCATAACTTATTCATTCCTCAACGGATTGTGTACCCACTTCTGGGAATGACGTGAAGATGAAAAGGACTGACGTTTTTGGCACGTTTTTGCCTCCCCCATCCACCATTATAGGCTTTGAACAAACAATGTAGAAGAGTTAGACGATCCTGAACAATGCAAACAATGGATTGCTGAGATGCCCCTAGCCCCTAGCCCCTAACGTCAGAACAGGACTAACGCGGCAGATGTTCTCCTAAATGGACACCTTCTTCGGAAAGCAACTTGAAACAGGCTCTCGAGAGTTGTGTTATTCCTCCGATTCTTTCTCCCTCCGTAGTCACGAGAACGATATATTGATATCATGACCAAGCGCCTCCTCTTTGTGAAGACTCAAGTTGATTGTAATAGAAAATGCAGAAAACAACAACTCAAAGAACGTTCACTATAACCCACCAAACACGCAGCAACTCGATTCGGGTCAAGTTACGATGAAACGCAAAAGAAGGCTGTCGACAACATAATTTAGTGGAGTAAAGAGGCGTGAACATTCGATTAGCCTTCAACAGTAATGCTTTACAAACAGATCAATTAGGATAACGCGTTTCCGTGAAGGAAGCGTTCCTTAAGCACGTAGTAATTTGAACAAACATATTACAAAAACAGCTCTCACGGTATTGGGTCTATGTTCTAGATCTCAGATAGCTCGGGCTATAAGTCATGGCCCACTTAGTAATGGAACAATATCATTTTAATCTATTTCGGATTTGAATTAACGGATTTGAAAACGGTTTTAATCCAACTTCATACTATTTCTCATATTTTAAGAAAAAATGCGAAACGAATTATTCGGCGCGGTTTCTAAGGAATTCGTAAACTTTTCCATCAAGCTGCACACAACGTCCACTGTATTGGCGATTTTATGAGCTGCCGTTTTGATGACAGTACCTTTTACCTTCAGTTTCCTCTTCATAATTTCCCAGTAGTTTTCAATGGGCCTGAACTTGGGACAATTGGGCGGATTGAGGATTTCCGGAACAAACGGACTCCGTTGTTGTACTTCCGGGCTGTAGTGACGCAAGATCCGGCGAAAATGTCACCGGACTATCATGTGACTGGATTAAGGGCAGAATTCACTTCGGGAGACATTCGGTTTCGTAAACCTCCGAGTTCATCATTTTCTCAGTGACGAAAACCTTTGTGTTCTGGCTGCAGCTGCAAATTCCCTGCCAGATTATATATTTGCGTGCGAATTTATCCGCAAAAACGAACTTGAATCTGTCAGGGACACTTTCTCGAGCCTTCGCCTTCGAAAATTTTGGTCCTGGAAGCTGTCTGAAGTCGACCTTTACATAGGTTTCATCATAGGGTTCAAGTATGCACCCACCGGACTTGGTCTTCAGGTTGTCATACAGCTTTCGAGCACGGGTTCTAGCTACGGTATTCTGCTCGATTGATCGATGTGGATGCCTACTGACGCGGTATGCCTGTAAGTCTTCGCGGTAGGGAATTCATTACATTGTACTACGAGCAGCATCATATTTTTTCCTCAAATCGCGATCGGATTTACCTGGGTTGGTTCTGATGGACCTCACGACCTTTCCATGGAGCTGACGGTTGGCAATTCACCTCCGGCGTTTACTTTGAGGCTTCCGATTCGTCGTCAAGGTTTCCCTATACGTTTTGAGCAAGCGCCATATGGTGTTTCTAGGAAAATTCAACACTTAAGCCAGCTTAGACGCGGACCACGATGCATTTTCCAGGTGAATGTGCTCGATTTTTTTCCTACGCTCCTCTTGCATGGTGACTGTTGCCAAAACAAGAGCGTTTCAAGAACTGAAAAAATACACTGTTATTGTTATTATTGTTGTCAACAAATAAACGCCAAAAGCTTCCAAAAACGTCCTCTAGAAGCGCTGTATTCAGCACGGAAAACAAGATCGACAGAAAACAAATCAAAGGAAAAAAATAGGAGCGCTGTAGAGTTTGTTCCATTACAAAGTGGGCCATGGTTTATATATTTAAGATTGTTTTCCCAAAAATTCAAGATGATCCGATAAAAATTGACGAAGCTATGCGACATTGAATAGTTCCATGTCCATGATACCGGGAACATATCTTAAAACTTTAACGTCTTTTGAAAAAGGCCTTCTCCTGGGAGCGGCGGCTTGGGGAACAATTACTTCCAGGAAACATATAATTTAATGATTTTCGAAGACGAATATAAGAACAATAAATGGAATATATTGCTTACTTTCCGAGGAAAATAAATCTCAAAATTTCTCATATTTTGGCTACGAAGGTAGGCTTGACGACCCTCGTTGTGACATCCTTATTTCCGGAACCACTTCGAAACATTAAGTGCACAAATATAGATTTTTACGACATGTACAACATTCAAGTTGTTGGGGGCGACCCCGGCGTATTGGTTAACATCCATACCTCTCACGCCAAAGTCACGAGTTCAAATCTCATCCCCGGACAAGTCACGAATGACCCAAAAGTGTTAAAGTGACTATAATAATAAAAAAATAAAAAATAAAAAATTGTTACTCTACGTTTGCTGCACTGCAGCATACATGAAGTAGCAGTTTCAGGTGAAATTGGGCACTGATTTCCGAGATTTGTGTATTTGAAAATTTGAAGTGGAAGTATATGTATACATTGTATAGCCTACGTAAAGGGCGAACACGAAACATTCAACAGGGCATAACTTTTTTACCATTGGGTAAAAATCAACCAAAGTTTGCACACTTTCTCATTGATGTGTATTGTGTACATGCTGTCTAACTCGAAGTCGTGTTTTTCGATTCAACGAAAATGGAGGTGAACCAACGCGAGTTGAGACAACAAATTCCTTCCAAACACCTGGAATTTCCTGACCTGTCGCACCGGCAGTTGGGAAAAATGTTGAACATTCACCATTCAACCGTCTCCAGAGTGTTGAAGCGGTTCCAGGAGCGGTTGACGTTGGACCACGGAAAAGGAGCTGGAAGAAAACCGGGACCGGAGAACAAAAAGACGGAGGGAAAGGTGAAGCGGATGATTAAAGCAAATCCCAACGTCTCAAGCCGTGGTTTGGCTAAAAAGATCGGCATGTCGCAGAGCTACGTCCAGAATGCAAAGAAGAGAGCTGGACTACATACATACAAGGTACAGAACTTCCCAAACCGCGATGAGCGGCAACAATCGACGGCTGAAACTCGGGCACGGAAGCTCTACGAGAAGATGCTGACAAAATATGGCTGCTGTGTGATGGACGACGAAACGTATATAAAAGCCGATTTTAAGCAAATTCCGGGGTTGGAGTTTTTCACCGGCAAGAGCAAGTTCGATGTGGACGACAAATTTAAGAAGAAGAAAATGTCGAAGTTTGCCTCCAAATATCTCATTTGGCAGGCCATCTGCTCTTGCGGACTGAGGAGTGAGCCTTTCGTGACAAAGGGCACAGTAAATGGCGAGATCTACAAATCTGAGTGCCTCGAGAAGCGCCTTTTGCCGTTCTTGCAGCAGCACGACGAAGCTCCGCTATTTTGGCCAGATTTGGCATCATGCCACTATTCTAAAAGTGTCCTGGAGTGGTATGAGGCCAATTCTGTCCATTTTGTTCCAAAGGACATGAATCCACCAAACTGTCCGGAGCTGCGCCCGGTGGAGCAGTACTGGGCAATAATGAAGCGGGAACTTCGGAAGAGCAAGAAGACAGTCAAAGGCGAGAAGGACATGTTAAGAAAATTGAAAAAAAGCTGAGAAACTGGTACCGGATGACACTGTAAAGACTTTGATGGAGGGCATCAAGCGAAAATGCGTTCAATTTTACACTCAAGGCTCCATCGATTAACTTTTCTTTTGATTGTTGAAGTAAATATATGTATAAAACTACCCTAAAATTTTGGTTTGATTCTAAACATTATAAGAAAATTGGCATGACATTTTCGGTGTCGCAATAATTTCGTGTTCGCCCTTTAGCGGCCTTTTTTTTGGACTCTACAAGGAATCACCTTAAGAAGCTTCTTTTAGAAGCTTATTCTAGATGCTTTCCAATTACTCTGCTCCTCTGATGGTTCACGGGAAGTATAGTAAATTTAATTGGGTAAGCAGTAAAGGAGCAATTTCCCAAGGTTTAAGGATTAAAATCAGTGTGTGACATGACAAATATATGTCTAATTAATGGATAGTACCTATATTTTAAGAGCGCAAACTTGTTTTTCTATGGATCAATTTCGTTAGTTTATGGTTCATTGTAGAACGTTTTATGGACCATTTGCAATATGTTTATTCAATTTCAATGTTAATTCTTTAAACATTTAGTGGTAAATTTTTACAATGGTGTTGCTAATTTTTACATTTTATACGAATCATATTGGTAAAGGGCGGACTCTTCTAACCATTCATTGGGGCCTCTTCCTGTTGGATGGAGATTCTTGTTGCAGATTCTTAACTGTCCCAAGGAAAATATAGGCGAATTGCCTAAAAATCCATCCATTCGTGTTTGGCCCGTTATACAGCGAATTGCTGATGACAATCAGAGGTTGTTCAGCTTGATTAAGTTCAACAGTGAGGATTCCCACACAGATCGGAGAGTGGTTCAAAATATCGACTTGGCTCCACCAAACGTAATGACTTCAAAATCAGGCCCTGGTAATCCTCCCAGAAATTGAGGTCATTTGGATGCATACTCATACTGCAGTGGCCCTTTGAATGGTTTATTAATTTATTTGATAAGGCTCAACCGAATTAACTTTACAGAGCCGAGGATTCTTGGTCACTATACAATACATCTTAAAACTATAGTCAAAAGGTACAACATAATAAACACTTTATCTTCCGCTATCCAAAAAGCCTCC